CTTCTCGTATATACTACATTTTTCATAAATGGAATGGACTCAAAATGGAGTGACTGCCAGATTATCACACATTTTCTTGGGCACTACTTGGTGCAGGATCTCGGCCCGATCAGTCACTAGCATTATAAAGTCTGTCCACGACTCTGCTATATCCGAGTTTTTGAGTTCCGGAGCGAGTACCTCGAACACTTCAATCATGTGAAGATTCTGGAGGTCATCACTGAGCCTCCAAAAGACTTCAGCGTACATGGTACTCGGAGAGAGAGTAGGGACCTCAAGTTGTTATGTGTCTTGCTGAGTGAGGGTTGACCACAGAGGCTGATATTCCCAATGAGGCCTGCGTCAATTGCGGTTGGGAAGACAGTGTACATCTTGGGCATGCTGCATAAGACCTGTAAAAGAAAAGAGAATCCTTTGTTGATCACTGGGCCTGGGTCTGACTCAGTGGTCAGGTTGAGCATACACAGGGTATGGATGAATGGCTGGACCGCCACCTCTACAACGGCTTTGACCAGGCAACGAGCGGAATTTGGCGGGTCGCTGCTGCTATCAGCAGTCTTTGCCAGACGAGTGGTGAAGACGAGGAAATTGCGTAACAGGTCCAGACACAGCTTCGTGATAGGTGTATCTTTTGTGAGAGCAAGGTGTTGCACAGAAAGAGCAACGAGGGACTCGAAACTATCGCCTACGCCTTCCACGAGCTCTTCGAGATTAGAGATGTCCACCATCATGATGAACAAGTTCAATGTCAGTCCCATCTGCCAACAATGCCAAAACGCATGTCAGGGGAACCCCCGCTCTTCCGGCCTTTCCGGCTATCTCTCCGGTTTCCGGTCCGGCCTCCGGTCCGGCTAACGCCCCCGACTTTCCGCCCGCCCGCTCCCGTTGGCACGTGCTATGCGACCAAGCCCGTGATCATTGTAGATACCTCCGGACACGTGCTACTGGGTAGTTACTGATTCGTATATAAGGTTTCGCCTAGCGTGGGAATCCTCATCCTTTCTTCTCTTCGGATTCCCCTGCTAGGTGCGTAGTATTCCCGCTCCTGTATTTAGTACCCATATTTATACTTCGGATTCCCCCGCTAGTTTCTGCGCCCCGCGCCGAGCTTAAGGTTGCCCTTACAACGCACCCCACAACAGTATAGAATCCTTGTGTGGCATTCAGGATTCTCAACCTTTCTTCCGGCCGCAGGCAGGCGCAAATAACAAGTACGTGCTTCATCTCCGTCATTTAGGCTGGTGTGTTTCTAGGAATCGGAACCAAGTCCAAAACCTCGGCCACAGATCAGAAACCCGCGCCCGCGGGAACAATGAGTATGAAGAGCGTCTTCAGGGCAAGAGCGGCCAGAGAAACTGCCTTACAAGGCACCGCCTCATCAACTGTCGGGATTTTCTGTAGACCCAAGCAGTGATAGATAATGGGAGGTACTGCATCAGAGCTATGGCTTTTTTCAATGAACAATATCTGCCTGAGACACTTGCAGTCTTGGAATGAGCCATTTGATGCCGCCATTGCCACTTCCTGGACTCTGCTGTGAACCGATAAGGAGATAACTCACCTGAATAGTATGTGGCAGCTCAGCCAGACGACTGATTCGCAGGGAGGCATGCATACCTGTTCGAAAGTCGAAGTCTGCTGATCGTGGTGGGAGATAGACTCGCGACCAGTTCGTTTCCAGCACTGATCACGGGGGCAAGAAGATCAGTGCTGTGAAACGACTGGAACATCATGTCATGATTTTGGCAGATGGCGCCAATCGTGATTTCGGACTTAGGAATTTCAACCCTTCCCAGCCCTTCCCCTGCCCTCCCGTACTTTCAGAACGAAAGAGCTCAAGGCCCAAGTTATATAGAGAAAGTTACTTCATTTTTCATTTCGAATTGATGGAGCGCCACTTATTTTTGGGCGAAATCCGAAACATGTTGGTCTTATTCAACTCAAAATTGAAAACTGTCCATCTTTGACTATACAACTTTTTACACTTTTTCTGAAGGTATGGGAGGACAAAAATCCCAAGTCTAAAACCTCGTTTGGCGGCATCAGCCAAAATCGCAGCATGATATCCCAGCCGCTTCGCCAACCGTGATAAGCGCAGCCACGTGCTTGGCGAACGCGGTTGGTCACGAGCCTAGGTGGGAGAGCGAATCAACAAATTACGTTAATCTTGACCGTGCCGGCAAACTTGCCGACGCTGCCGAGCCAATCGTGAATCGTGATGGCAAATACAACTTGTGCAAATCGTCCCTCAAGTCCTGTCGAAGTCTACAGCACAAGGTCACAAATTGCCATTTTTACTTTTTGATTCGGCGCCAGAATGAACGTTGCATATTTTCACACGATTCAGACGACTAATTCACGGAAACGCGAAAGCAGGACTGAACCGCTTCACTGTATTTATTTTGCACCACGATTTTAAATCATAGTATGCGTTGATCAAGGTGGAGAAAAGGGTACCTGAGAAACAGATCCGAGTGACCGCTGATAGCGGAGGAATTCCAGAAACATTACATAGACAGGAGGAAACCGCGCCAGATCGAGGTCTACTTACTCGGGAATGAGTGGTTGTTCTTCACAATGTACAATCATCACATCCACCTGTCTTCGAACACTCGGGGAGGAACTTCGTTATTGGTCCGTCTGTCCGCCCGACTGATGAGTTTACTTGGTCTCTGGCCGAAATGCGGAGTTCATATTGGCTCCTGCGATTGGGATGAAATTGACCCGCATTTTGGCATCTTGACCACTGGCCATGCGGTGGGACATCGAAATTGAACTTGGAATGCACTATTGAGCTGGCAGCTTCAGGCCTTCATTCATTAAAGTGTAGCTGTAGGAATCTTCTGGACGGTACAAGGCACGGCTGATTTCTGAGCATCATGTGAAAGAGTACAAACCCGTTCCTGACCGGCGGCGGCGAATATGCGTCAAACGATCTTATTCCTCGGCAGGAAAATGATCATCCGCGCACAGAGAATTGATGTCTCTGAATCAGAGATTCCAAATGCGAGTTTGGCATTTACTTCCTTGGGGTCCGTGCGTGGACATCATGATAGTCCTCGGCATTTTCCGAACTAAGCACTGACCATGAGTGACTCGTCTGATGTCCGGTTCCGTCGCCGTTGTCGTCTCCCAAGTTGGTCTCCTGCAAGTTGCATTCAATCGCAAATTGCCATGGCGCGTACCATGCAAACTGTATGTTTCATACTCATCAGTTTCATCTGGTCCGATGTTGAGGTACTGACGTCTCCGCCAAGGCACGTAAGAGCACGGGGGGGAAAAGCAATTGCGGTCGAGTACGCTTAATCTGGGGCCGGCACCGTCGTAGACTGCTGCGTACAAACATCACGGGCTAGTCGGAATGTTCCGAATGTCTCCAACTCACCGACGATACGTTGCTGCAGGGATCACGAAACCCGCACTGCGCCGCCTCGCACGCCGCGGAGGCGTCAAGCGCGCCTCGCACAGCATATACGACGACATGCGCGGTGCTCTAAAGATATTCCTGGAGGGTGTCATCCGCGACGCGGCGCTATACACCGAGCACGGGTACCGGTGAATTCTTGCCTTGACCTGCGTATGGTAGAAAGACTCGCTGATGGCGTGTAGAAACGACTGTGACGCCCCTTGACGTGATGTATGCGCTCAAGCGCAACGGAATGACGCTGTATGGGTTTGGACTATAGTTCGGGGATTTTGTAAAGAGCATACGTACTGAATTGGATACGCCTTTCACCCTCCCTTGTGCACAAGCAAAACGGAAAAGTGCGGGGATGGCTGCGAAAGTAATAGTTGCCGGCGATATGAAGAGAGTTTGTGATAGTCCGGATTTCTGGCCAATTTCTTGCAGCTGCCAGCGCCGAGGTGTTCCCACCACCGATGCATCGGATGCACCCCAGTCTTCTAATTCGCAGGGTGGGGTGGGTATTTTCCCCGGTGGATTATCTCATATCTGTGGACAGTGGCGAGCCCAGCTCCCCCTACCATGACGGTCCCTGCTGAAACTCTTCCTTCTGGCAAGTAGATTTTTATTCGAATTGATCTCAACCTAATTTAACCGACCAGCTGCTTTTCCATCAACTTCAGCTCCGGAGGTCCCAACAAGCAACACAGCTATGAATCCCTTCCTAGGCAAGCATTCTTGAATTGATCCTCGTAATACCTTTTGAATCATTTTTCGCAGCCGCCCTGAGCCCTGCGAGCGCTCAACCACAGGCCTTCATAGCTCGTAAACCACCCCCCACCATCAATCAATACGGTTACTCCTGCAACTGCCTAGGTATGTATCTTCTGCTACGCTGAAAATATCACCTACCATCGGCGCAGGGCGTAACGTGCACGATTCTCACATGTATCACCGCGGCAGCCTCCCACCAAATAAAGCCGTCGTAGACCGCAGTCGGTCGCCTTCCCACCATGATCCAATCAAGAAAGAAACGGGGTTCGACTCCCCGCGAAGGCATATACTCAAGTGCTCCGTTTTTTTTTTCCGCTTTGCATAATTACTCGTGCAAAGTCGGTACAGGTTGATTCTGAGGCAAGGCGAGATCATCTTCGAAACACGCAGGTACTCTGAATCTGAGCTTTGGGGCAAGCTTCAAGTGACTCGACATATCCGCGCCTCTCCAACCAGAGGCCGACGCACAGGCATCACACCGTCAGCTTCGTGATAATGAGGCTGTTGTAGACTATGGTCGGTCGCCTTCCCACCGTTCTTTGACAGCGGTTTATCGGTACGAAAGAGCCGAGGTTCGATTCCTCGCGACGGCGTGGCCAAAGGCGAATTTGTTCTTTTTGCCTTTTTGTTTCGTGCAGACAGGCCGGACTTCTTAGGCGCCGAGAGAAGCATTATGTATCAGGTGATTTTTGAGGTGATTCAAGGTGGTTCGAAATTCAAGTGCCCCTACTTTTCCAAACGTTGGACCATGTCAAGTTGACGACTCCAATAAAATGCACAGGGATGATAGGGTCCGCTTCACGACAATGATAAGCTCTTTGAAGCTGTTGTGGACCATGGTTGGTCGCCTTCCCACAATTAAACAGCAGGCGACCTTGTTCGCGTTGTGAAGGAAACCGAGGTTCGATTCCTCGCGGCGGCATGGTTGGAATTGAGTCACCTATTTTGCTCTTTTTCTTTCTCAGAATCTCACATCCGTCCAGCTCACCTCAAAACACAGAATTCTGGGTCGAGTTCAAATTCAAGGGACAAGTTGATGTTGATTGTTTCCCCGTTTTCAACCACGCTTCCGGATAATTGGTCGCGGCTTCAAAGTCGACGTCTCAGATGTACGCAGTCAGCACCACAATACTAAAGCCGTTGTGGACCGTGGCCGGTCACCTTCCATCATTGTGCCCCAAACCTCATTCGCGAAGGAGCCGAGGTTCGATCCCTCGCGACGGCATAGATCTGAGGTTGGCCGGACTTTTTTGCTGTCCTTCTTTCTTACCTTGTGCCGAGAACGAGTCCCATAGGATGTGGAACATTGATTCGGTCAGTCAAAGTCAAAGTTGGAAACACGTCGGTGGCTGGAACCTTGAATTTGGAAATTGAATGCTGTTTGCTCTTCCATCCAGGTCAAGTCGGCACCTCAAACCAAACACACATGTATCACACCGCCCGCCTCCCAATAAATAAAGCCGTCGTAGACCATGGTCGGCCGCCTTCCCACCATGATCCAACTTGAATCGTTCGAGAGTAGGAAGGAAACGGGGTTCGACTCCTCGCGAAGGCATACACAAGAGGCACTGTATTTTTCCTCTTTGCATAACTATTCTTGCAAAGTCGGCACAGGTTGGTTTCGATTCCGAAGCAATCCGAGATAAGTATTTCGTAGAGTCAACTTCGAAACACGTATCGGTAATACTCTGAATCGATTATCTGAGCATTGACCCGGGGGCAAACTTCAAGTGGCTCGACGTTTCCGCGCACGCCTCTCCAACCAGAGGTCGACGCACAGGTATCACACCGTCACCTTCACGATAATGAAGCTGTTGTGGACCACGGTCGGTCGCAAGGGGGTGGCACGTGAGAAATTGATGGTATCATGCCGGTCGGTCGGTCCCCCCGAGAGACCCTTAAAAATTTTTTTTGGAAGAAAGTTTGAAGGGCCTCCTAGAACCTCAAGAAGTCTCCAGAATCACTTACTTGCAAGTTTTGACCTCGCGCGGCCTCTGTTGAGAATATAGTCCCGAAAAGGAAATGATTGACAGGTGGCGGTGCTCAGCTCGGCGGGCAAAGCAACCATTTGAACCAAAAATCTGGTGTGTTTGGCAATGAGTTGAGTAAAGTGAGCTATAAACTGTAGGCTGAGACTACATGTAATGAATACACATTCATAAAGATTCTGTGTGGGGTTTCAAGCTCATAATGCTAACATCTTCTCTAGTTATCTACATCAAATATCCCGCAAACAATGTCTGATGTGTCCAAGCTGTCCCACCAGTCCAAGAAACATTATGGTGGCTCAAAGCTCATATATTTGGGCTTGAGCCAAGTAAATCACACAAAAACAATGGAATTTGTGCCCATACACCAATTGAACCACGTGAGAAATAGCCTTACGGGGAATGATGCCATCACCCGGTGATTGCCGTGGTCGGTTGGTCCCCCTGGCCAAAGCTTAAATACAAATCGGCATGATATGCTTAATTTTTTTTTTGCTACCCCCTTGGTCGGTCGCCTTCCCAAAATGATTCAGAGTTGATCGGTGCAGAGTCACGGTGAGCGATTGGTGAGCGAGTACTGCCACATGTTTGGACAACAAACAAACCTCCTTTCGGCTTCTCCCAACCACCTTGTTGACGCGTCCCGCTGCATCCACGGCTTCAATTGTTACCCACACGTGTCCGATGCCTTTTAATCCTTGAATAAGCCGGCGGCTACTCTCAGGTCTTGTAGAACCCAATTATCCAATCAAGATTCATCCAATGGACCAATGCGCCTTCTAAGTCTTCATTCGGCCTGAGGCCTATATTCTTGAACGAGCATCTGTATTGGAGCTAAGAAGTTGTTTGGGCGGCTCTCCGGTGCTGGTGGAATGTAATCTAGGCGCTACCCTGTCCCAGCAGCTTTTCCGAGAGTCTTCGAGCGCAATCGCGCAATATTTCGCCACAATTGGCATTTCCACGCGCGTTCAGTCTAATAGTAACTGGGTGAGCGTTCTTCCTTCCCTCATTCGTTGCTCCCTGACGTTCGTGTCCCAGACTTCTCGCTGTCTCGTGAGACCTTTCCCTCAGCGCATGAATGCCGCCCACGGTCTGCAGCACCACACTGGGAACTGAACGTGGCAGCCTGTCGTCTTTAACTTCGGGCCCCGCTCTACCTCACACGTCACGATTCGCCTTTAGTCGCCCTCTGCGACCTACTCTATGCGAATGGTGGGCTCGCGCTAGCGTGTCGACGGCGCCACCCACTGTTCCCGCCCCAGCGTATCTATCCTGCCTCGTGCTAGCCCCCGGCTCTGGCTTGCCGCCGGTGCGCATTTTTCCCGGTAAACAAGGACCAGAGGCGCCGCGCGAGGGCCGGAAGAAATCTTGCTCGTGCTCGGCGACGGGCAAGGGATAGCTTCAGAGAGCCATGCCCGCCCCGCTCGAGTATGCAGCTGAGGCGGACAGTGATGGTGATATCGTCGTGGGTTGCACCCGCGCGCGCCACTACTCGATGCGCGAGTACAGTGTAGCGCAGCATGCTTTCTCGATCAACCGCCGTGCCATTTTGCGGGCGGGACAAAGGCGCGCAGCCCGTCCTCTGTGGATGTGGGCCTGGATCATCGGCCCACCTTGGCCTTCGCCTCCAATATCGCTCTCGGGAACGTGCGTGCGCTACCAATATTCTTCGGCCTCCATCTCGTCGCGGTGGATAATCATTCTCATTCTTTCTCCTCTGAGCACCACCCCACCACGACCTTCAGCTATTCTCTACCGTCGTGCTTGTCTCATCGCAGTGGGTACGTCCCCGGATCGTCAGCCCGCCCCCCGCCTACTCTAACTGTGTTGCGTAGCTTGATGCGGAAGCAGGATACCCGACTGTGCGCCGTCCTCGATCGGGCCACTCGCTCAATTCGCGACCCGCACTTCATCGGATTGGCCATGCCCTCGACATCCGAATCGCGGAGTATGGCAACTTACCTGGCGGGGCTGATACAGGCTACAGGCCCCACCGCGATCCAGCCTTCCCCGTCCCGCGCGGCGGAACCACGGACGGGAGGGGAGGCGCACGAGTCCTCCCAGGGCGGGTCTGCGTCTGCGTCCAAATATGCATGTATCCCATTCAGTCGGCGGGAAGACAGCCGCCGCTGCATCTGACTCGACTTCCGCCACATTCCGTGGCCGGTCGGGCGCGCTGCGCACGGATCCAAATTCGGGGCAGACCGACTCGCTCGCAGGCCACGCGATATCGATGCCGAGGCCAATTCGACCAGCTCCCCCTCGGTCCTCCGGCGCTCATCCTATCATCCGACGTGCACGGCAGTGTGCTTGTGTATGCCCTGAGAAGATATGGATCCGTCCCTTCACATCCCTCGCCGTGCCCGTCTCGGTCTAGTGTAACTGGACGTAGGGCTTGCTCGGCGTGCAGGACAGTCCGGGCCACGCCTACATTCGCGCTTGAAGGCGGAAGCGGGGGACAGCGTTGCTCGGCTCCGTCTGCTGCCGTGCCCCCCTCCTGGCCCACTTCCGAGTCCGAGTCTGGATGGAAGAATTCGAGAGGACGCAGGTCGAGGCGAGGCGAGGCGAGGCGCACGATGCTCGGACGAAAGTGGAGGAGACGGCAGGGCGGGATCTCGCCATGTCGATATCGCCCGAGTCGCGTCGGTGGTGGTGGGTGGGGTGCCATCTGATTTGTCGTGCTGCCCCAGGCTCGAGGGAAGGGACGATCATGTGTCGCGCCGATCTCAAGGCTTGGAGGAAAGGGAAGGGACGCCCCCAGCGCCCGTACACTCTGTTCCCGCGGCCCCCGCCCCCGGACAAGGACATACATACCCCATTTCGCGCACTGGAGAAGCGGGGGAAGAGGCGATGCGGAGCGCAGCGAGCACGAGTGCAAGTACGCGCCTCCGCATTGTCAGCGCAGTGCATTCCCGTTTAGCCTAGCCTGGTCTAACTGCTCCTCCAAGCTCGTCACCAGCTGTACATCAATCATCGGAGCGCCCCTCCGCGTACCCGTGCGACGGAGAACTCGAGATTTATCACGCCACCACATCGATCCCACCATGCCCTGCACTCCCATCCCGTCCGCCGCTATCGTCTCCGGATTTCGTTTGTCATCCCCCAGCACCTTATCCGGATCCGGACGCATCCGAGAAGAATGAAAAGACGCAGGCCGGGCGCACGATGGAAAGGGGGCGCTCAGTGAAGGCGACAGCACGGCATCTCACCACCGCCATGTCGTCGTCACGCGCGGTGGAGGCGGTACATAGGAAAGGAAGGCGTTTCCCGGCGGGACGACCTGATCTGGCCTTGCAGGCGTAGCTTTGGGTGGGATGAGCTGGAGTTCCGCCTGCTTGTCGTGGCGCCGTCTCCACCCCACGCTACACGCCTGCGCCCGCGCCCGCGCATACTGGCCTCCGACGTCCCCACTGGAGAAATGCGAAAGGACACACGGGGCGAGGCGTCCGTTTCAGTCACGAAGTGCGTCCTTCCCTCCGCATTGTCACTGTCAGCTCAGCACGTCCCCGCCTAGCCCAGCCCAGCCTAGCTGCTCCTCATATGCATCAGGACCCCCGACTTCCGTGGCCCCGAATGCGCTTCGTAGAACCCATCGTGCGCCGCTTACGAGCAGCACGAGCGCCACGAGCAGTACGGGCAGCCAGCCTCTTCATCTGTATGTAGGAGTCGAGAGCGCACACGTCCCGCATGTCGATCCAGGGACCTGCCCTCGCTCGGGTCGTGTCCCTCGGTGCTCTATCTAGCCCAAGCGAGATCGATCGGCGCTCTAGAAAGAATGGAAGGGTGGGCTCGCCTGTCGCGGTGGAACGGGAGGCAGGAAACGTGTTCGGGCTTGGACTGGATGGAGGTGAGGTGGGGCGGGCAGGGCGAACGAACGAACGAACGAACGGCACCGCCACAGTGATATCAGCAGATTAAATTAATATTTCATGCA